TTTTCAAGCCTCTCAAAAGGTCCTGGGAGCTGGCGATTTCGCCCGCGCTGACCCCGTGGGGGGTGGGGGAGCATCCCATGGATCCTGGAAGGCTCCCTCGGACCCTTGCGACGCTCCCTCCCATGGGGCCAGTAGGGGCGAAGTCACCACCTTCGCTCCATAAGACGCACAGACTTTCTACCCCCCTTTTGGAGGGGAAAAAGTGTGTCTTATGGAGCAAAAAATACGGTATATTTCCAACAGATGCGAGTTCTTACAAAAATACAATTGTTTCTTCTTGAAGACCACATTTTGATTGCTTTTTGCTTTGTCTTGTTTGCACTTGCAATTAGTCTTGCATGGTTGATTGCTTCCCCCCCCCTTCGGCTGGAAGGGATTAGTCGTGTTTCCGACTAGTCTTGCAGTGATTTTTTTTGGTGATTTTTTCTTCGGTCAGAACGGATTAATTACATTTCAATGCATTCCTATGGGAAATGGTGCTTCGAGTTACGACCATTTCGAGTTACGACCATCTTCCTGAACCAATTAAGTTCATAAGTCGAGGTAGCACTGTACAGTCCCAGACAGAGACCCACTTTATTGGTGTTTTCACATCTTTTATGATTTGCATTCCTGTGTATTGAGAGAAAGCCTGTAAGAAGAATATTGCCTCCACATCAGTTTTGAATCTTAGCAAACTGCTAACCTGGTAACAAAGGGATGTGGTGGCACTGTGGGCTAAACCGTAGAAGCCTGTGCTGCAGGGTCAGAAGACCAGCAGTCGTAAGATCGAATCCACGCGATGGGGTGAGCGACTGTCACTTGTCCCAGCTCCTGCCAACCTAGTGGTTCGAAAGAATGCAAATACGATAAATAGGCACCACCTTGGTGGGAAGGTAACAGCGTTCCGTGTCTAAGTCGCACTGGCCATGTGACCACGGGAGATCATCTTCGGACAAAATGCTGGCTCTATGGCTTGGAAACGGGGATGAGCACCACCCCCTAGAGTCGAACACGACTGGACAAAAATTGTCAAAGGGAACCTTTACCTTTACCTAACCTGGTAACAGAGCAAAATCACTAGCAACACAAGGATGAAGATAATTGAAAATAAATTATTATATATAACTAAAGAACAATATATTCTGTTTTTTTAGGTGATGAACTTTATCCAGATGATCCTGATCTTACAGGAGAAAGAAAACCTGTTCTGACATCAAACAAAAAGATTGAAGATCTGATGAAAGGGGCTAGTAAGCTTCACCGGATAGTGACTCATGATCTCCATAACGTTACTATTTGTGTGAATATCCAGGCCAAATATAAACATATCAACCCATTGGTAGTGGACTCTAAAGTGGGAAATAATGCAGATTGTAATAGCAAATTATAATAATAGATATATATCATTACACTTGTGTGTGTGTATGTATGTGTACACACACAGCCTGTAAAATATTTCCTGAATATGCTGCCAAAAACCTTCAGATCTTGCTATGCAACACATTTTGAGAGCAGCAAGTGTGACTACATTTACAAGTTTACTTGTGAAATTCAAGCCTGGATTTAGGCTTCTGTCTATACATTTGTAATTATTTTTTCTTCCAATTTTGTGCAAACATGCCATTTGAGGAGTGGACATCTATCTATGAAGAATATGAACTCAATCTACATGTTTAAAGATTTAGATTACAGTGGCACCTCGCAAGACGAATTTAATTGGTTCCATGGTCAATGCCGTCTTGCAAAAAATTCTTCTTGCGAGGATTGTTCTGTGAGCCAGACCTTTCCATCCATAGAAGTCAAATCCTGACCAACATCCCACTTAATTGTGATAATCAGTCAATGTTCATGACCTTAGTATCTCATGTATTATTAAACACTCACCGGTGACCAATGTGGGACACTGCTTCCTATGAAGGAGAATTAGTGTGCTACTGTGAGATATTGCTCTGATTCCAGTAGAGGCTTTTCCTGCACCATCCGTGGACTTGCAGGGGTGCTGGGCTAGCCTCTGCAAGCGCTGCTCGTCGGCTTTGGGGGTCCTCCTTTGGCAAGCCTCGGAAAGTAAAAAGACTTTTTTTTTTCTTTTTACCTTCCGAAGCTTGCTGAAGGCAGAGGGAAAGGGCGGGAACTTCAAAAATGGTGCCAGGCAAACCTCTGCAAATGCCCATCACTGCGCGGAGGGACCCCCACGAGTCCTGGGATGGTGCAAGGTAAGCCCCAGTGGACCCCCAAAGCCGGCGAGTGGCACTTGCAGAGGCTAGCCCAGCACTCCCATGGCAAAGCGCCGCTTTCAGAAGCCTTCCGGGGATTCGTCTTGCGAAGCAGGGCCATAGGAACGATCATCCTGCGAGGCACAAAAACCGTAGCCAGACCCATTTGTCTAGCAAGTTTTTCGTGCCGCGAGACGTTCCTCTAGCGAGGCACCACTGTATTTAAAAGACAACCTGGCCATATTTGGTTCTAGTCAATGTAGGGCTCATTTGTCAATACTGGGATGAGATGAACTGTTTAATATCTATAGTTCAGTACCTTGAACTGTTCTGCTTTTGAGAGTGAGCCTCTTAAGCATGTTTATGTGGGAGTGATCCTCACTATGTTCAGTGGGATTTACTTTTAAAAAACCATTTAGGATTTCAGTTTTGCAGGTATAAAAGACCTATGAATTTGATTATTATTAATTATTATTAATTTGAAAGTTCTATTTCTAGAACAGGAAGACACTTTTCTAGATACGCTGACCTGCTTAGTGGTGTATAATTATAATTTCATACTGTACATAAAATAAATACCATGTTTGTATTCATTCAGTGTACAGTACTGTATATTGAATGTACATTTGGATTACAGTTTTGGTATGTTCTCTCTAAAATGTCACAACAAATGTGCATTTTTCCTGTGTCGCCTGAATATAAATATTCTTTATGTGAATTATTGTTAAAATAAAGATTTATTTTCAGCAACATTGGTCACATTGACTACTTTAATCATTGGAAAGTTACAGTAAGTCATTGTACATCTTCTAAAATGTAGTTTGCTTTCATATTAAGAATAGTTCCTCAACACAATGTGACCTGAGCTTTTCGGATTTTTATTTTTTAAAGTGTCAGCATATTGGAAGATTAAATTCAAACTTTGTTATATTTCTGGGGCATCCAAACTTAAGTTTGTGATTTATGTGCAGCTCTAATAGTTCATGAAAATGAAAAGAAACTACTAGAAATGACTTTGTTGTGCAGGGCTTAAGGGAGCACTGTTTTTCCTCATTACAGTTTATAAAATGGAACTAAGAAATGAGGAGAAAGTTCACTATAAGAAAAGTGAGTAGTGTAAACAATGAAAAAAGTATCCTTTAAAAGTATAGTTTTATATTTATGTGTTTTGAGGGTTGGAAAAATGTTAGAAATATGAGTACATGAGGAACAGAAAGAAAACATACTGCAGTTGACACAGTTTGAGTCAAATGCTTTATTTCTTTTTTTTGTTGCATGAAAGATGTCCCAAAAAAGTTTACTGAACCATTTGTATTTAATTTTTAAATCATCTTAGTAAATGGAAAATGTATTTGCCAGTTACTGTATAATGACACAGAGCTGGTTGGACAGCTCAATGGTTTAAATCAGGGGTCAGGGAACTTTTTTACCCTTTACACCCCAAAAATTTTATGTACGCTGATTTTTTTTGTTGCATGAAAGATGTCCCAAAAAAGTTTACTGAACCATTTGTATTTAATTTTTAAATCATCTTAGTAAATGGAAAATGTATTTGCCAGTTACTGTATAATGACACAGAGCTGGTTGGACAGCTCAATAGTTTAAATCAGGGGTCAGGGAACTTTTTTACCCTTTACACCCCAAAAAAATTATGTACGCTGATATTACCCCCTTGATTTGAAAGGAAGGATCTCAGTCACGTACAGCCAGTTGAGCGCCGCCACCGAAGCCTCGCCGCCCACGGCCACCTTCTCCTCCACCTGGTGGGGCTGTGCTCAGTCTTTGGCCCCATGGGGGTGGCTCCTCTTCTCCGTCAGCAGGCGGCTCCTGGGCGGCTGTCGAAGAGCAGCAGGTGGCTCGCCCGCAGGGGACGCCCAACACCGCCTCCGGCAGCTGCTCGCCGGGGTGGCTGCGTCACACCTTGGCATCAGGGCTCCCGCAGGCCTCGCCGTCGAAGCGCCATGACAGCTGCCACATGGAGGGCGAGAGGCTCTGTCAGCCCCCCTGGGCGGCATGGAGGCGCCGCTGAAGGAAGCTATGCGGCTGGGCGAGTACCGCTGCCACCTGACAGGCTCCTCTGGGAACAGGGGTGTGGGGTGGCAGCCTGGTGCCAGGAGGCTGAGCCTGGCCCAGGCCACCGCCATGGCCGCGCCCACCCCCCTCCGCCGCAATCCACCTCTCTGGCACTAGAAGGAGAGGCTTCTCCTGGCCGGGGTGCTCCAGCCGCTTGCCCCGGCCTCACCCTCCGCCATGGCCAGCCCCACCGCCGCCACCTCAGCTGCCCTACGGCACCGACTGGGGCCCATCGCTGGCCACCGTCCACCGTGGTTCAGTTGCAGCAGGGCTGGAGAAGAGGGCAGGATGGGGGCGATTGGGCTGCCGGGAAACCCCCCTCCAGGCAGAAGAGGAGGAAGGGGGGGAAGGGATTAGGGTCACATCCTCGTTACCCCCAGGATTTTCATTTTTACCCCATTTGGGGTAATTTACCCCTGTTCCCTGACCACTGGTTTAAATAGTTCGATTCCCCCTTTCTGCGGTTAGAGTCAGCCTGTATGGCCTTAGGCAAGCTGCACAGTCCCAGGGTGCCCCCAGAAGAAGAAAATTGTGCACCACTTCTGAGTATATTTTTTACCTGGAAAGCCGTGAAAAGGGTTGCCATCGTTGATAATTGATTAGATGGCACATGATTATTATAAAGACACAAAAGAAATAATCAGGATCCACTGCCTTATATTTGAACAGTTTACTTTGACAAGAGAGATACAGTTTCTCTGGGGCTACTGTTGTATTCGCATAATTTCAAATTCACTGTAAGAAGTTATTTAAAAAACAATTACAGTGAAGACCAATAAAGCATAACAAAAATATGAAATAAATCATTATTACACAATTGTATGAAATGTGGGAAATGCATGGTAACCAATATCTTTAGTTATCCATTATTCTTAAAATAGGCATTGTACTTATAAAGGGAATTAGGACTCCACCTTCCTGGGCCAGGCAGAAGAGCAGGAACCAGGTATTGCAGATGGCACATAGCTTAGTGATTTTGTTGTAACTGATTGTACTTTATATGTTTCAATGACTGCTTTTTTTCCTTAGCCTATATTCATTCTCCTGTGAGGAAAAAAATATCTTTTCAACCTACCTTTAGTAGATAGTAGGCTTAAATCTTATATACAGCTGAGAGGTCTGACAGAACTCAGTGGGCTTACATCTCAGTAAACATGCATGAACTTGCCTTTTTAAGTAGCTACTTATTTATGGATCACTGATAGTTTCAGAATCAATGGATTCAGGATTAGCACTAAAATAATTGGTCAATAATGTCATAAATTGTAAGATCTTTGATGCAGGGGAGGTAAGCTATTTATATAAGCATAACTGATAAGCGTTGAATTTATATTTGTCCTACTGAAAGGAACAGAGACATTAATTTAAAAAAAAGCTAGACTCATAAGTGTGCATGCAGTAAAGAGGTAGGGTGAAGAAATTCACTCCACTGAATGAGTATGACTCATGGATTAAATGAGGATTAAAGCAGAGGTAGCAGAAACATTTTCAGTCCAGAAGGTAGCTGCATTAGCCTGATTCCAGCCTTAAAGTGAGTTAAAACAACTATGTTCTGTGATACTGCCCAATTAACTATTTTTAATTTCAGAAAAGAACAGAAAATCATTAAGTCTCTCAGGGCACCTTAAGAACTCTCAAAATAATGAGAGTAGTTAGCTACCTTAGGCTGTTAAAGCGCAAAAAATAAAGAGTTGAGGAACATGTAAGGCTGGCAAATTCATTACATTATAAACATCTGCTTTACTGTGGTATAAACCTTTGTGGATTATGGTTTTTCAGCCTGTCTGCTTACATTTTCCTCCCTCTCTCTGTATTTGTGTGTAGGTATAAGCTTGCCAGCTGAGGAGATCATACATCTGCTACAGTGGGCTCCAAGCCACAACTTTATACCCCAGAATCATTCTGTTACTCCTGTAACATATCACAAAACCCTTTATTTATTCTGGGTGTCCTGCAATTAAAATGAGAAAGTTGGCCCTACTTTGTGTTCACACTCCTTCAGTATTTATCCACTTTGACTGCACAATCCATTACACTTCTGACAATAGTGAATTTATTGAATTGCATCTACCGTAATCCTATGAAAGCACAAAGATGCTAAATTGAGTGTTATGGATCCCAATTCTGAGTAAATAGGTGCAAAAGAAGAATTACCACTATGCTTTGCACATTTGCTTAGGTGTAAATCTTCAGCACAGTGAGATCTACTACAGTATTCCACAATAATCACACACTGAATTCCATATACGCTCATCTAATAAGCTCAAAGTCTAATGAGGTCAGTATGAAATACACCCCCCCCACACACACACACAAAGGTGCTCAACAAAATTGGTTGGGGATATGGATCGGATGGCTCCATATCTTCAGCTTACATTAACTGAAATTAGTGAGAGTTATTTGTAATGGACTTGGTCCATTGACTTCAGTAGGTCCATTCTTTGTGTAACTAAATCCGAATGTGGGCCCAAATATTTATATTTATATAATATAAACATTTATATAACATAAACATTTATTATAAAAGGGGCAAAATACTGGAATGTGCTGCTTAATGAAAGCCGTTAAAAATGCTACCGCTGTAAGCACCACTGCCAACCCCCAAACACATGGGGTGGGTTTTAAGTGGATGTGGCTTACTGAGGAAAAGATGTCCATAAAAACTGCAGGGATGCGGAAATGTGCATAGGAGCACAGACACGTATATAAATTTATAGTACAGTATATGAATTCATATTGCAGTCCAAAAAGGCCATTTTCTCAAGCTGTCTCCCCTTTCACGCGTGCGTATCTGTATGCCCACATGCGGGTACACACAGTATATAGTACGAGTAATAACACTATATACACGCCGAAATGCCCGCACGTGCACATACAAGTGCGCGCACGTGAGGAAAAGGGAGAGACCGAGGGCTAGGAGAAAGGGCTTTTCTCTCCAGGCTCCAGCTCCCATGTTGGCGGAGGGGAAGGTGAGCCCCTTCAACCCCTCGCTCTCCCTTTCTCCTCAAAACGAACGCCGCCACCCAAACGCTCCTGGCGTAACCGCGAGGGAGGGGCTGCCTGTTCCCCGTTTGCGCTGGAACTGGTGGTGGCGACGCATGCGCGAGGCGGAAACGGGCCGCACCTCGTCTTCCAGCCTCGCGCGTGAGGTATAGTACGGCGTTAGGACTGGAGGAGGAGGAGGACGAGGACGAGGACGGGCGGGAACGTGTCGAGCGAGAGCGCGTGCGCGGCCGTTGGGGTCCCGCCAGAGGGGAGTGCTTTCCAGAGGGTTGGACCCTCCCCCCCCGGTTCTTGTTCCGAGGTGAAGCCAGCTTCGCCTTGGCTGTGGGAGGGCGGCTTGTTTTATCTGTTTGCCCTCTTCCTACCCCACGACGCAGTGGCGACTTTAAATAGGTTGCACCTGCCCGTTTTTTTTTATTTTTTATTTTTTTGCCTCTCGGGGGAAGCAGAAACCGCGGAGGACGTAATAGGGGCGAGTTTCGGTGTGTAGGGGGGAGGATGGGGGGAAATCATGCATTTCAGGAAGGGCAGGTGCCCCAGGTAGGGAAAGAGAGGTCTCCCTCCTGCTTCAGGTCTGCTTGGCAAGAGGGAGCAGCTCTTTGGGTGAAGGGCAACGGACTGCGTGGCCCCAAACGGAACATTTAATTGTTTATTGCATGTTTGGGGTGCCTCTCCTCAGCGGAGCCCAGAGCAGAATATGCTTCTCTGCCACTCGTCCCCACCCCACCCTGTACTCACAACCCTACCTGGTGGATGAGGCTGAGGAGAAAGAATGGCGACTGAGGTTCTGCAGGAATTGTGGTGGTCGCTTGTGGATTTCAACCCATACTAATCTGTACCAGTTTGGTGTTGTGCCCATTACAACCCTTTGGCACATACGCATGCAAGCCTCATGATCTCTAGGTATTTTGACTCTGTGTAATGTGCTGGTTGCATTGTTGGAAGGCACAACATGATGGTTGTGATGCCACTGAATCAGCCCCACCAGAGGTCAGGATAGGCCTACTTCCCACCATACAGGAAGACAGAATTGCTCTTCCACCTTTTCCCAGGATTTTATGATAGGACAGTCTTTTGATCTGAGGAATTCACCTTGTTGGTTGACAAGAGCGAGGGCTAAGTGTGAGAGTGAGAGAAGGAGGGTCTTGGCTCCTCCGTTTAGAGGTTGAGCTTCTCTGATTAGTCATTGTGACACTGCTTGAATTGTACTTCAGCAGCTTAGGGGATGATTGCATCCTGACCCATAGCCTAGGCAGTTTTAAGAATGTGCAACGCAACATGCAGACAATACACACAAATCCAGAGTCAAAATACCTAGAGATTACCTATCTTAAAAGTCTCTCTCTGTGCCCTCGTATAGTATCTATGAGGGCTTGGAGGTTGCTAGTTGGTCATGTGATTGCAGGGGTGGTTGACCTGTGTACATATTCTCACTGTCCATTAGGCTTAATAGAGGGCATATGCTAAAGAATCACATTGAGATGTGAGGTGGCAACCCTAAACCACTCCTTGAACATCTCATGTGCCTCAAAAACCCTGTTACAGGGTTGTAAATCTGAAGTGAGTTGATGGGATATAAAAACAGTGTGAAACAGCTACTTTCAAGTCTAATCACTGTCATATTTCACCCTGTTGTTTTTACTTGTTACTTTAGTAGGCCGCCTGAGTGGTCTTTTCAATCTGCTACACAAATCACAAACTGTCCTAAAAGGTAATGCTTCTAAAAGGTCATGTTCAGATATATCCTAGTTGAAAATACAGTTTGATTCGGTTTGGACAGAACTGTTTTTGATCCTGCAAAACTGATTTATAGTGTAATCGTGCCAATGTTTACTCAGAAGTCCCACTCCACTCATTGATACTCTTTCCCTGAGTCACAAATTGCACTTTTACTTCATGATCACTAGGGGGCAGATTTAAATAACATTTCTCATTTTTCTGCAGCCTTCATTTGAATCCATAAGCAAGTTCAAGGTTCAAAGAGCCTGAAAAACCCACAACAACCACAAGTTCAAAGTGTTTGTGAGTAATCTGGCATTTCCCCCTAGTGATCACATGTGTATTGCTTTGTGATACATAACATATTTAATTTATTTTTCTGATACAAATGATTACTTTATTAATTCTGACCTACCATGACTGCTTCAATAGAACTAAGATGTATAGTTGGTTAAAAGTTGACAGTAGCTAAATTATTGAAATAACCTCATTGCCTGGTTCTCCGTGACTTTATGGATTATGCTGGAAACCTGTATATGAATTTTCTGAAATCTAAAGCTGCTTAGATTATGGCCTGGTTGTTTTAAACTCAAAATTAAATTTAAATGAATTATTTCATTTTAAGAAAATAATTTCCTGATATATTTGTTACTTTTCTGTGTGTTTTCAAAGGTTTATCTAACACTTGAAGAAAATGCTTGAAGTCTTTATTTTGAAGGTATTGTAACTTTTTAAAGACGGAATGCATACCCACTCCAACCATACACAATGGCTACAGTATTTTAATATAAAATTATGGTTTTTTGTTTTAATAGATTGAAAATCCAAACTGCTTTTGGGTTGGCATAAAAGGAGGTGGAACGTTTATAATTGATGAAATGGAATATAAAAAACTTCAGTCTGAGATGAATCAGTTCTATAACAAGACTTACAGATATGCGGATGAAGTCAAGCCGCCTACGTTAGAAGAGGGACAGGTAATGTTATGTAATTGTTGTTTAAGTTGACAAGACAGTGAAGAAAAGAAAATGAAAGTTAGTCCTAGGCTGATGATACTCAGTGTGTCAAAGAGGGACAGGTAATGTTATGTAATTGTTTGACAAGACAGTGAAGAAGAGAAAATGATAGTTAGTCCTAGGCTGATGATGATACTCAGTGTGTCGTAGTAGATAGAGTGATGGACTAGGACTGAGGACACCTGGATTTGAATTCCTGCTCATCCATGGAATCTTCCTGGAAGTGTGAAAATGGTAAAAACACTCCTTATGTATCACACTTACCTTAAAAACTCCATTAGGGTTGCTACAAGTTGATTCTGACTTGAAGGCATATACCAACTGGGACTAGTCCTAGTTTCCTTCTGAAAATGTATGGTACTAACTTAAGCTTTAATAGGCATAGAAATACAAGGTCATGTTATAGTAGGTATTTATAGACAACATTTAGAATTAGTTTTAAATGTCTGTAGAAGAAATTTTGTAAAAACAATGGCATATTTCTGCTTCCTTTTTTTGGTACTGCACATGATTATAATTTTCCCATTGTGAGTGTTGGAGAGTAAATAGACAGCAGACGCAATGTTAAATTCAGCCCTCTGATACCAGGATACCTGAGTGCAATTTTTGTTTTGTAAAAAAATCACATTCACACTTCTTTCTAAGAAAGTAGGGAAGTTTATGTTAAAGAAATACAGTGGTGCCTCGCAGGACAAAAAACTCGCAAGACAAGTGGTTTTGGCAATGGGGTTGATGACTTGCAAGACAAATGTTCCTATGACCATGCTTCGTAAGAAGAATGTTTTCCCTTTTTTTTGTTTCTGCCTCATGTTTGCTGATTTTTAAATGTTTTTCTATGATGTTTAAAAAGTTAAAAGTTTTTTGATTGAAATTTTTTAAAATCATCTGCACAATATGTATGGCTTTAAAGAGCCTTTGTAAACCAAATTTGACTTGGTTCTGACTTTTTTTGCCCACAGGAATGCATCAATTAGATTTCAATGCATTCCCATGGGAAAATGCGTTTCTCAAGACGAATTTTTCGTAGGACAACATTAACCACGGAACGAATTAAATTCGTCTTGTGAGGCACCACTGTATGCTTATTATGGGGAAGGTGCTAGAAGTCCTAGTTCTAGCTAACTAAATTGGAGATATCAGGAGCCATGGCTGCTTCTTTCATATCTAGGGAAGAAATGCAGGCTGTCTTCTGTTTGGGAGGCATGAGCCAGTGGTGTGAGAGAAAAGGAAGTGACATCAGCAACCCTAAAAATAGCAATTTGTGATTGAAGGAGGGTCAGTATGGATCAGAAATGTAAAGGACAGTCTATGAAACCTGAGGAGATTCTCTTTCTCTACCCTTCCCCAAGCAGAGATACATATCTTCTTGAGTTTAAGCTAAGTTGCACCCAGTCACTTCCCACAGTAAACTTCCCATAGGTAAAGGTTCCCCTTAACAATTTGTCCAGTTGTGTCCAACTCTAGGGGGTGGTGCTCATTTCCGTTTCCAACCCATAGAGCTAATGTTTGTCCAAAGACAATCTTCCGTGGTCACGTGGCCAGCACGACTAGACAAGGAATGCCCATGCTTTTCACTAATTAGATGTTTAATACAAAATTCATGTGGATTGTAATAAATAACAACAAAACTTTTTAATACAAAATTCATGTGGATTGTAATAACAACAAAACTAAAAAAAACTCCCATTATATGCTTCTTTTTCAGGTTTGTGTTGTTTATTGTCAGGAGCTGAAATCCTGGTGTAGAGCTGTTGTTAAATCATTCAAATCACATAAAGATTATTGTATCACTGAGTGCTTCCTTGTGGATTATGCCCAAATTGTTCATGTGAAAACAGACAGGTATGTAATTATACTAGGTTAAAATCAAACAGCTGAAACTGCTCTGAGTGAGACAATGCAGATCTGTATAGTATTATCAGTGAAGTGTTTATGTGTTTCTTCAGTCCTTTGCAAGCACAGAGAACAACAGGTAATTTCTTATCTATGTGAGTTTATTCTATGCCCCTCAACATGTACTGTGGAAGACTTAATGTTAGCTATCCCAAATGCTTTTGATGTTGTCCATCATTGGGAAAAATATTTATTAATTGTACTATGGAAATTCTGAGGTGTGATTCTTAATTTCCAGAATTTGTAGCTTGGTCTTACTGGTTGGGGCTTCTGGAAACGAAATCCAAAACATCTAAAGAGTCAGAGTTTAGAACTATTGTCATATCAGATTGTACCAGTTTAATCAGGGTGGGCCAGTAGTGGATTTATGTATGTTCATTTAGAAGCTTCTGGCTCCTGACCTCAGCTTACCCTAGGACTTCCTGGAGAGCCATGGCAAATCACTATGTTTCACCATATTTAGGACATGGGAATAAAAATAGCTTATATCAAAGGCAATCAAGAGCAACACAAGATTATGGTCATATTCAGGGTTGGTGTTTTGCTTGTAAAGTATTTAGCTTTGCAAAAGTGTTTAGTAAAAGTTCATTAATTTTGTATTTTTCAATCTGTTTTTTTTTCAGAATTTGTGTTGCCTTAGAATCGTTTATGAGATTGCCCTACAGAGCAAAAAAGTTTCAGTTATACTGTACCAAACCAGTAACTCTACGTGTTAACTACTATACCAACAAGGTAGAGACAGTGTAAGTATGATTTGTGTGAGATCATGTAACATGTTGCATGGTATTATGGCCTCTTCAGAATATCTTTTGCAACTTTCTGGGGATTCCTACACCTATAAAGAGGATCTTGTCTGCATAAATGATTTCCAGTGTGGAAAAGTGCTCCTTCTTATATCTGCCAGAACACTGTATTGTTTGTCCAAATGTTGAAACAAATTTGTTGTCTTTCCCATTTGGCTTATTGTGATGCTACATTGAAATAACCATGTGTGTATTTGTAGTCCTGTTGACAGATGGGATATAGCAGCTATCCAGTATTTCCAAGACCTCCTGCATGGTAAGAAAATATACAGAATATCAATTTCAAATACGTATATGAGCAAATGCATTAAAATAAGGGTAAAATAACCCATCTGTAATATTAAGTTAGGAGACATAATAAGTGCCTGAAGTAAAGAATAGTGGTGAGCTTACTGTTCACAGTACCAAAGTAGTCAGAATACCAGATAAGCAATTCATGTTTAAAGAACCATATCCAGTTGATTAGACTTTAAATATCTGAATTGTTCCCAAAATCAAAGCCCATTGACTGTGAATGGTCTCCTCAGTTAGTGGCACAACTGTTTGGACCTGATAGTAGATGGCTGACTGCAAAATCATTAGAACAGAGATAAGGAACTTCCTGCTCTCTAAATGCTTTGGACTTTACCACCCAGAATCTTGAGCTACCTCAACCAATAGTAAGGGGTTATGGGACACAAGACATCTGATGTTCCAAAAGTCCTGTCACCCTATCCTAGAATTTGAATTTTTATATTGCTGATTGAATTCAATCTGATTGTCATTGAACAGGCATTGTGGATTTTTCAAAAATATTTAAATTGATATAGGTTGGTTGAGTATTCAAAACCTTTTAGTGGAAAAGGGCACAACATTTTCTGTTTACAGTAGAACCCTTTATCCACAAGATCATTATCTGCTGATTCAGTTATCTACAGTCTGAAAGTATTAAAAACTATTAAAAGAAAAATCCCCAAACCCCAACTTTTTAACAGTTACCAGAACTGGCCACTAGAGGGAGACAGAGATCATGCTATGTACTGTGTGCCATTTGCTGGAGAAATTTATTTCTATTATGCCATTAATAGAACCTAGAGGGAGACAGAGATCATGCTATGTATGCCATTTGCTGGAGAAATCTATTTCCATTATGCCATTAATAGAATTGGCCACAAAAGAGAGCCAGAACCATGCTGTATATAGCATTTGGTACGAGTATTGTAATAGCTTTAGCTATAATCTACATTTTCAGCATCCACAGGGAGCCTTGGAACAGATTCCCCATGGATATAGGGATCCTACTATATCAGACCTGGGCAAAGTGCGGCCCGAGGGCCACATACAGCCCGCGAACCGCTCCTATCTGGCCCGTGGACAGTTGTGAACATCAAAACCATTTATAGCTTTTTGTCTAAAGTTGATCAGTTGCTTATCTTTAACATACTGCAAAAAACTCTTTAGTATTTACGAAGATTAACAAGTTTAAGATAAAACAATAATAACATCACTGTTTCATTTTATTTTTAAGTAAAGTTGGTTCGGCCCCCGAACACAGTTCAGATTTTTCATGTGCCCCCCCCCGTAGAAATTAATTGCCCACCCCTGTACTATACTCATGTGATCATCACATTGAGAACTGTTGGGTGAAATATGTAATTTCCTTTCAGGAGTATGCTTCCCTCAAAGGTGAGTTTTCCACAAGTGTTCTTGCAAGACCTTGATTCATCTGCATATAATATGAAATACATTTTAGCCTATCTGTGGCAACACCTGACCGAATACGTTCAGTTATATTTCTTGTCAACCTAACCTAGGAGGGAGCTAACACATAATGCAGTTTGCTTGTCCTCTTGTATTATGACTATTTTTGATATCTCAAATATAATATAGTAATTCAGTTGCAGTATGCTGATTAATATTTTGTCTATTGTATGTAAATGGCAAATAACCAAGAAGATGTGAGGAAAAAGAAGAAGGTAGCTAATGTTCTTATTCTATTTTTTTATAGTAACCACCCAAGTGGAGGCCAAGTTGTGTGCTTTTAAAGAAGACAGTTTTGATGTCTATCTTTATGTCACAATAAAGGGTGAAAAGGTAAAGTAAATCACAGAGAAATCTGTTTTGTGTAACAGTAGCCAGAGTCCTGTTGTTGTTGTAGAAGATTTATGTAAAGATATTGTAACAAATTGAAGAGGTGCTGGTGTGCATGTGAGTTACATGCCTACTCATGCAACTGAAATGCACATTACAGTATTGTAGCAGATTACACAAACCTTTTGCAGCTCCAGTAAGATTCTAAGTTTGGAATGGGTATGCAGTTTCTGAGTAGATGCATCTGTCTCTCTCTTCTTGTAAAGAAAAGTGCAATATGCAGTTTCTGAGTAGATGCATCTGTCTGTCTCTTGTAAAGAAAAGTGCAGTATTTTCCCTAGTAGAACTAGTTTCATTACATTCCCATTGTCCGGACAGTGTTTACTGTGGACTCCAACTTCTTATGATGGTGAATGGTTGTGATTTGTATGTTCATGTTTTTACACTGTTTTAACCTGACATCACTTCATCTGTAACAGGCAGTGTAGGAATGCTACTCTTTTTGGAGTATCACTCCCAGAACCCCCAGGCTGAGGGATTTGGGCAGATACAGTAAAAAAACAAAAAGATGTTTCCAAACTCCACATTCCTGAGCTGCATAGCTGCATGGCACCATGAGTCAACAATTAAAAGACTATTCTCTACAGCCCAGCTTATTTTTGTTACCAAGTCAAAATAGGAGAAAAGAACATGGAGATAAAGTGCAGATCCCCTGCATATGTAGAGAAAGACTAATGTCTCCATCTCCAAGGATTAAAGTACTATGGAAATAGACGTGCAGAAGTGCATATAAGTGGAGAGGGAATCATGCAAATATAAGAATGTGGTGTAGGACTAAAGTTGATGCCCTCAGGAAGAAGAAGAATAGAAATTGAGACTATGTTTTCATTATTTTGATACATACTCATGGTTCCAGACTGGCCATTTTTATATCCTGGTAAAGAGCTTCTGTGTTTCTTCAGACATAAGACAAGCTAGGCACAAAAGTATTTTGCTGACTATCTGTTCTTTTGATGTAGTTTCAGTTTTGTGTGTGTGGAAGATGCATAGTGGGACAGATAGTTTGCAATATTATTTTCTAATATGGGGTTAACTATATAGCAACCAAAATTGTATTGGATGTTATGCTGGTGCAAGTGCAGTAACATGAATTGCTATGGCAAATTGCCACTAGTTAATGAGTCTCCTCTTGTCTCTATACTGAATACTAGTAGCATGTCTTCTTAAGCAGCAACTCATTAACTAGTGGCAAGTGACTGCTTTGATTTATGCCATTCTGGCTAGTGTGTATTTTGGGGATGTGTCTTTTTGGTTAAACAGAGATGACAATGCCTGTTCTGCAAATAATTGTCCTTGTAGGTAATAATTCATAGCATTAACTGAAGAATTTGTGGACAAAAATAAACTGTTTGCCTGCTTAACCAGACACGTTCAGTGAATTTTTCATTGTGAACCCATTTCCTTTAGCTTGTTTGGCTTTCAGTTATGCTGTGCTTTTAATATTTTTCTTATAATGAAGTATTGTGGAATATCTGTGCTGATCTGCATATTTCATGCACTGAACAGAACAGGTAGCCACCAATATTTTTTGTGTTGAACTTATCCGTATAGGAAGAAACGAGCCTCTCTGTGTGTGTGTTTCAAAACTGTTTGAATTGCAGCTTATGTGTGCAATATGCTGTCTCTAAAACAGAAACTTAAAAAATATTTTTAAATGAAGTTCCCTGTTTTTTTGCTGCAATCTGGAGTTATATCTATGGGCATGTTAATAATGTAATGCAGAAGCCATTTCAAGCTCTTTTGCTTTTACACCTGTTAAAAGCATCAAATGGCAGCCAAAATTAGAGCATTTGCCATATAGTTTTAGTGAACTGTAAAGTGTGCCTTCATGTGGTAGTGGAGAGTTTTGTGTATGTGGTAGCCATTTGAACCATTGCAATCGTCTCATGACTTCAGGATGCTTTTGCACAATATTGGTAACTTATAGCCCTGCCAATAGTAGTTTGACTTCTGTCCATGGTAAATCTTCATCTGCAATAAATCTGTTTCCTCCATAGGTATGTGTGAATGATGATCTTGTTGCAAAGAATTATGCTTGTTATGAGATAAACAGTAAAACAAACAGCACTGTGGAGAACCAAAATGAAAAAACATCATTAAGTATTGAGTCTGCTTCAGAGGAGATCAATCCTGCATATGTTCTGTGGCCAAAGTTGCTGCAAGCCAAAAAACCAAAAGTTTTTGACATGTGTAAGTATGATCAATCTGTTTCTGAAGTATAATGTTAGCTATAGATGGGAAATATGCTTACTTCTTCTCAGCTTCTGGTTTTTTCTCTCTGCAATGTTTGTTTTATTTCCTCTTAGTGTACTTCAGGTTGGGTGTCTGCTATATTTAGTGACAGAAACCCAAAAAGTAGAAGACTCCAACTACCACCACACTATTCTCTTAAGTTAATGAAAATGTTCTGCCTACTTGCCAGACAGTGGCTTATACTTGCAGATAAGTAGCTGTTTTGCAATCCTGGCACTCGCGCAAATCGTAAGTTGTCTGTTGGCTGTCAACTGGAAGCCACTGTTTACTGTTAAATCATGAACAGAAAGAAGTTCAAGATTGCACAGAAGAAAAAAGCAGCAGAGTGAGAGCTCATTCTTCTTGTGCCAACTGCGGAAAAACGCAGTAGCTGGATCTGTTAATGTTACAGTTGATATGATTATGTGAGAAGCAATTAACAGAATGTGGTGTATTCATTGGGAGTTTAAAGCAGTAGTTTGTTTAGGGGACAGGGCAAGACAAGAATATATTTGCTGTTGTTTAGTCGTTAATTTGTGTCCGAGTCTTCGTGACCCCATGGACCAGAGCACTCCAGGCCCTCCTGTCTTCCACTGCCTCCCGGAGAATATATAAGTAATTGCTATTGTGGGTCCTAATTGAGGCTCTAACCCCACTTGATTAGTTCTGTGTGAACCCAAAGAAGTTTGAATATGTTTCTCATTTGTTTTTGCTTTTTAAACAAATTCCTCTACCCATGCTAAACAGGCTATTTTCTAACTCTCTTCTGGTTACACCATAATTGATATGGCTTGGGAATTTGCTGCTCAGAACTAACATATCAGATGTATTAAAGGTGTACAGCTAACCCCCTTTTTGTATACAAACATTTATTTTTTAAAAAGTGTTGCATTGGAATTAGACTCAAAACTTACATATGTATCACTCATGTGAAATCCTTACAATCATTGGATCTAATTCTTTTTAAACTTCATAATTTGTCTTTTAAAAGCATAAAGCAAAATTTTGCAAACCTAAAAACATCTGATAACACATAAAAACAGCAACCTTGCACAAATCATGCTCCCCTCCAATGGAACCATTGGGGGGGGGAGAGAATTAAATGTAACATTGGCCCCTACCCAGCATGAAAAAATCTTATATCTGGGGCCCTGTCCGAGGTTGATTACAGTACTTCTGAAATGAACAGTTAAAATGAAAATTGTCATGTTTAATTTGTGTATTTCCCTTAGCTGGTGATCTTTCTGATGGATGTCAGAGAACATCATACAAGCCTTCACAAGAAAATGACTCATATAATAGGGTAAGTTAGTTTGAATGTACAGGTTACCAAAAACAGTAACATCCATTGCCTGCATTATGATAATACAAAGTAAACATGGGGATGAATATAAAAATAAATCAGGATATTGGTTAAATATCCCTGATTCATCAGATATTCATTGCTTCATATTCTTGGGATCCAGAGACCCCAGCAAATATGAAGCAATAAATATAACCCTTTTGTTCCCTATCTGCTTATGGCCCCGCGCATCAGCTGTTCCTCGGGGGCATAAGCAGAGAGGGGTTTTCCCTTTGGGCGGCTTGTTAAAGCCTGCCTGAAGGGAATCCTCCTCTCTGGGGCTGGGGGATGGCTTGGTTCCTCTCTCCTCCTCTTCCTGTGCTCCCCCTGACATAAGAAGAGGAGGGAAGAGATCAAAGAGGGATCAGAGGAATCCCCCAGCCGATGCGAGATTGCTTTGATCCCTGCTTTCCCTCCTCTTGCTATGCCCTGCAGGGCTTAGCAAGAGGAGGGGAAAAGGGATCAAAGTGCTGCAGGATCATTTTGATCCCTGCTTAGCAAGAGGAGGGGAAAAGGTATCAGGGTGCTGCAGGATAGCTTTGATCCATTCTTTCTGATAGTTTACTCATCTAAGTATTACTCTGTTTTGTTTTTGCATATATGATGTGGTCAACTATTGCTTGAGTTCTTGCCCAGAAGCTGCTAGGACTTTTTTGGAGTGGAGAGGGTTGTTGAGTAACAACAGGAATGTATGCAACAGATAACATTAGAATAGATTTAAGTCGTGGGCCAACTTCTTTGCAGGCAGCAAAAGTCACAAGCTGAGAAGAAAAGAAGAGGCCAAGCTGACCTCCTGCCTTGAAACCATGAACCAAGGGAAGCAGTACTGGTTGTGGGGTGCAGGCATCAGCCTCGGTAGAATGAACCCAGTTGCTGTCTCCCTTACAGTGTGGAAAAGAAGAGGGCCTAAAGGCCCTGTGTGCATCAGCTATGGCAATACTGTCATATGCACAAAGGCTGCCCAGTCATAGAATGTGCATGTGCTGGTGCAGATGGTGACTCAGGTACACAGCAAAGGATTAGGAAGTCCCAGTAAAGGTAAACAAAGTGCCTGAAGTAGCAGTAGTGGATGCAGGTTATAGTACACTACTTAAGGGAGAAGGCAGAAAAAATAATGGTGCATTGTGTACACGGGGATGTGCAACCCTGTATCACCTGCTGGGTAGAACTAATGGCATCTGGGGGAAACCAGATAGGTATGGTGGTTTCCTCACTCTCATAAGACATGCTGTTGGGGAGGAATTGGCTTGTCTTGAACTTCAAGCAGGCTTAACATAAACTAAGCCAAGTGTAGGAGTCACACATGGGACTCATGATCAAGAGCAGAAAGACCTTTATCTGACACAGACTTTGCCCTTGGCTTTACTTTGAGGGCCACATGATTGGTGCTGGAGCCAGAATTGAATAAAGGGAAGATATATTGGTTGGTATTCAGAAAGGGACCGGTTGGGAGTAAAGCAGTTGGTAGTGCCCCTCTCACTAATAGAGGAGGTTTTGCAGCTGGATAATGATATAGTTATGGTCAGCCACCTATCATGGGAAAAGACCCTTGAAATACTCAATTTTTTTTATTTTTTGCTAGAGATCCATTAGCAGGTGGAACACTATGTCAGAAGACCCAGGGTTGAGCAGCCCTGGTAGCCTCTTAGTTTCCAAGAGGGTCACCCTCTATATTGTGGGTGCTCTTGAAAAGTCCACTAAGAAGGGCCATATCCATATTTTAGTAGTGATGGACTATGCCACTCATACCCAGAATTTATAGCCTTGAGGGTAATCTTCGCTGTGGTTTTCTCCAGGAAATTGCTAGGTATTTTTCTAAAGTAAACATTCAAAAAAAAAAAAAATACAGATCAGGAAACGAATTCCATAAGTCAGACCTTAAAACAAAGGTGGGATTACATCCCTTCACACCTCTTTATGATATATTCAGGCCTATGGGCTAGCACAGTGGTTCTTAACCTTTTTGAAAGAAACGCCCCCTTGAGCCATTGAGGAAGTTATCATCGCCCCCCTCCCCGTGGTGATGATATCTTTTTATTTATTTATTTATTTATTTATTTATTTATTTATTTATTTATTTATTTATTTATTTATTTATTTATTTATTTAAGACACTTAAATCCAATGACCCCTGAAAACAAAA